AAGGCTATTTGCATTTTTAGTATAATATTTCTTATAAAATTAAACAAACTAACCTCATTGCGTAGAGTATTAACCTCATTGTGTAACGATGAAACAATCTCACGTAGAGCAACAACCTCATCACATAAAGCAGATACCTCACCACGTAAAGTACCATTGTCATCACGTAAAACAACTACCTCACCACGTAAAGACCCTACCTCATCACGCCATGCACCATTCTCGTCATGTAAAGCACCGACCTCATCACGTAAAGCACTGACCTCATCACGTAACTCCCCTAACTCATCCCGTGGAGGTGGAGAACGGGGAGATAAATATCGTGGCATCTTTGTCGGTCGCCTATCATGAGGTGATGGTGGATAAGAGACTCGATGATGTGATGGAATAGGTGATGGCTCTCGGTGTCGAGGTGTAAAATCAACTCGATCAGGTGATGAATCTCGGTGTCGAAGTAAAGAAGAGACTCGATCAGGTGATGGATCTCGGTGTTGAAGTGGGGGTGCTCATCATCCATCCCATAAAAAAATGCCTACTAGCTTGCCACCAATCAGTGGCAAGCTCATCCTCTGTGGGTGTCAATGTCTGTAAGGGATAGTTTGCCTCCTAACAATATAAAAGCCCAAACAAAGTCAACGTCTACTAGTAATAACTTGTTTATATATGGTAGTATTTGTGTTAACTTACATTATTCATCATCGTATATGATAGTAAATCTTCCCAATCCAACAGTCGGATCCTCCTCCAAGTAATAGCTCTAGGAATATCATTTGAATTCTTAATGGCATAAGTACGCATGTTGGGAAATGCCTCAAATATCCAAATCTACAAACAATATAATACACAAACATTAATTTTAGTAATTGTTAAATAATTAATTTTGGAAACATTATATAGAAATTCTTACCTTAAAGGCCCAAATAAAGCCTGCCAAAGTGTATTTGGAACCATGCCCACGAAAACTACGACGATCCTCAAAGGCAGACGATAATTTTTTCCAGGTAGTTTTCCATAGATATGAACCCCACGGAAACACATTCCATGCATCTAGGTCCTCTACCAATAATATTAAATCCTGAGAAATTGGTTGTCTGCCCTTTTTGGCTAAAAATCCGGTATAGAAAAGTAACAAAAGGCATACACGGACAACATCAAGGTCATCCATCCAAGTAAAATCATCTTTAAGAAGTAATCTTCTCAAATCGTCGACGTGTAAAGTGGCCTTCACCTTTGCCAGCTCAGGAAAAACCCGAAATAACCATGATGGGCGGGCGATATGACTAGTATATGGACCTAATTCATCGTGTCGTCCGAAACGTAGACCAGTGACTAAGCAAAACTCCTCCCGCCCAAAACGAGTATACGCCGGTGGAAAATAAAACCATATCTCCTCATCACCACGTTGTATCCCCTCGGGTAGATCATTAGTCATGGTCTGACGAAACAAATGAGTCAACATAGCATCTCCACCTGGATGTTGTACTTTCAGCCATGGCCCAAAACAAGTATTCTCAAACAAATTTCTTTGGATAGGTGTAAGTGTCGACGCAATTGTAGTGGCTAGGCTTAATTTATTCCTTAAAGTCAATGCAGCCGAAAAAAATTCCTAACAAAAACAATAAACATACCAAGTTAGATATAATACTAATAATATACCAAAAACTACAAATTATACACAATAAACAGACATGATATTAAACAGGGAAAATATAGCCAAATATGTTTCAAACTAGCCCGATATTCACCCAAGTCATTATTCTATCATTGTTCACAAAATGCATCAGATATCATTCCAGAAGTATAAACAATGTTAAAAGGACAACATATAGGTTTAGTGCATGTTCAAGGACAACATTCTAGAAGAGTAGTAGATTATTCTTGAAACTTAAATTAACAACACTGTGAAGTTAATATTTGTCTTTGTTTTTTGGTTGAAGTAATGCAATTCATTAAAGTTTCAATTTGCAGAAGAAGAGTAGTTTATACTTGAAACTTAAATTCGCAACAAGAAAATCGCAACTCGAAAATGAAATTCGCAACACGGAATTTGCAACGCGAAAACTAAAATTGCGTTGCGATTTTCGTGTTGCGAATTTAAGTTTCAAAAGCTACTATTCTTCTGCAAATTGAAACTTGAATGAATTGCATTACTTCAACCAAAAGATAAATACTAACTTCACAGGGTTAAAGACTAAACAGTTTAGCAGTATTGACAGCAACCGAATGAATTTACTAAGCAATCTAAGTGAAAAGGTTAATCTATATATTGAAATTACGAGTAAATTTATCATTAATTTAAATATGAAAAATCTAATAATAATACAAAACTTTCAAAATAAAAATAATTAAAAAAATCTAACCCTCGGTGGTTGATTTTCCATTTGTGGCCGTGAATGGTTGTGAGAGCGTGGCTCTGAGAGATGGATATGGAGGGGGGGTCGTCGGATATGGGGACGGATGTCGCCGGAGATGGGGACGGATGTCGCCGGAGATGGGGACGGATGTCGCCATAGAGAGTGAGAGATGAAGATAGGAGTGAGTTGCGATGTAGGGTTTTAGGTTATGAGTTGCGATTTATGGGATATATTGTTTACATTTGTGTTGCAAAATTAATATTCGTGTTTCGAATTCGAAAATAAAATTCACGTTGCGAAAATAAAATTCGCGTTGCGAAAATAAACGCACATTGCGAATTTGACTTCTGTGTTGTGAATTCCAAATTCGCGTTGCGAATTTAGAAAATCGCGTTGCGAAAAAGAAATTCGAGTTGCGAATTTCAAAACTGAGTTGCGAAATTGGAGTTCGTGTTGCGAATTTGAGATCGCGTTGCGAATTTGTTGGTTATTTTCGCAAATCCAAAAAAAGTTGGTTAAAATCGTATATTATAAGGCATTTTCGGTCACTGAAGTTATTTTCTCTTACAAATAAGTACCACCATCTTGATCAATCATGAAGCAGTTGAATCCAACTCTGAGAAAATATAAAATAAAAAGAACGACCAAGCTATCAAGAAAGAAAACAAAAAATGTACTACAAAGACCAAGAAAAAATGAGCCACAATGCAAAATTATTCTTATTAAAAAGTTTGAAAAAAAATGATATCTTATTAAAAAGTTTAAAAAAAAATGATAACCAATGGACGACAATAAAAATCAAAATTCAATGTCACCTTCAGTTAAATAAAATAAAAAAATTGATTTTATCTATAAAAATACACAAACCTAAAGAAAGAAAAGGGGAGAGCAGCTGAGATTTAGACAAATATATGTTTACATTCTTAGTTAATAAACGAGCTGTTCTTGTAACAAAAAATAAACAACCCACATTTAGTAAACTTATTATTGTATTATTGTTTTGACAATTTAATTGTTTTATTTTTTAAAACATAATTAATATTATATTATTATTTTTATCATCGGTCGTTAGATTTGATTGTTGATTTAACATAAATGTTGAAATGACATGATATAATAATAATTTTAGTCATTAAAATTTACATATTTATCAAATTGATCTTAATTCAAAATAGGTCAAAAATCATTAATATTTAGGAATCCTTAAATTTGATCTAATTTAAAATCCCGAAATTCCTCTCCTAAAATTCGATCGTCGTTGCTCAACCAACATTATCGCCTCTCCACAACATTATCGACCTCTTACAGTATCATTCTAACCTTACAACTGTCACACTTAGTTACACTTCTAGTAAATTATTGAATCGATTTTAAAAACTATGGTTTTGATGAACAACTAGAAGCTTATACAAATTCAAAATCAATATTTAATAAATTATAAATCTTACATGTTTATGCAATAAACTAACATAAATTCATAAATATTAATCTTTATAGATTATAAAACATAACGTTAAAATGACATCACAATGTTTATCAAAATAATTATTTTGATCTATATATTTTTTATTTTGTAACATTTTGGTCCCTAGTGTTTTATTTTAGGGTAAAGAGGTCTTAACGTTTAATTAGATAATCACTTTCGTCATTTTTCATTATTTCTAGAGTATTTTGGCCTTAATGTTTCATTTTAGAATAAAAATACTCTTATTTTAGAGTGTTAATCATTTGTTAACTAACCATTTCTATATATGAAGTAGTCTCTTGGCTCTAAAATGAATCTTTGGAGGTCAAAATACTCTAAAAAAATAAGAATCAATATAATTATTTTGATAAAGGTAAGAGACCTAAATTTGACATTATACCAATATAAAGCAATATACATACAATGAACTAACAAAAATTCAATAAATTAACCTTCATAAGTTATAAGACGATAAATATACAACAAAAACTTGGATTATATGTGAAGCTGCAAAAGGGAATTGATTTTTGTAAATTATTGGCATAACCTAAAACCGATTAAGGGACATGGAAAGAGAGTTTAACGCTTCATTAGGAAACATATAATAAATACACCTCTTTTTTGTATAGATAATAAGTAAACTACTTATATTAACAGTAATTTCTAAATCAATTTAAAGAATTACACAAAGAAATGAAGAAGCGAGAACCCACTTTTACTTTTGATAATGGGAGGGAAGATAAGACATGCGACACAGCCATAAAAAAAGGAAAAAGAAAATATTAATAGATGCCGCACTGGGACCCTTGGGAGTTGTCAGTTTCCCTCTGGTGTACAATAGTCCGCGCACCACCTAACCTAACTCGATCCCGCCCAACACGCGTGGGTCTGCCATGGTTCTGTTTCTCACTCTGTGGTTCACTAGCTCTTCAGTACTCGTGTGTTATTCAATAATCATATGTTTCTCATCACTTTTTTTTTTTTAAATAGAAAAGCAGACAATTTACTTATATATAATGGCCCTCGGACCTATTCAAATAATTCAGTTTCCAAGTATCTAACAAAAATATTACTGCTACCCGTTTGGAACATATTTTTCTTCCTTGTTTTCTCTTTTGATGCTCTTGATAGCAACCTTAAACCTTCAGCCCCTTCATTTCCTTGTTTGTCTTTAAACAATTATGGCTTCATTTGAATTTAATAATGTTATGGCCCGGAAAGAAGATGCTTTACGCAAGTATAACATGAAGTGGAATTTCAAGATTGGTCTTAGCTTCATCGGGTTTTTGTTGGTTTTGATTTTGCTGTCGTGGTCCTTGTTCCCCACCGTCGAGGTTGCTGGAGATTTTGGTCGATATTTGGTTTCTACTTTTAATAAACCACTTATCCTTGTAAACATCATCATCCTTGCTGTTTGTGTTTTATCAAACCAAAATCAGTCCCGGAAACCAACCACCAGTCCTGATATATACGATGAGTACCTTAGCTCCCTCCGTAGTGTGCCCACATCAGCCGCCTCCACCGCCGCACCTGTCAAGGAAGAGACCACGGTGGACAAACAAATCATCCTGATGGAAAATGCAGCTGCTCTAGTTTCTTCAGTAGAGCAGCAACGTACGGCCGGTGGCTGTGATACAGTTACAGAGACAAAACGTTCCGTTTCCCCAGTTAAAAAACGACAACCAGCTACGGAGAACCGTACACCTCCAACCGAAGTGATTAAACAAAAGGAGTACCGAAGAAGTCGATCAAAGGTTCCAGAATCTCGAACCCAGCGAAGCCGCATGTTTCGGAGGTCGGAGACGGCTATGATCAGTCGACAGCTGATGGTTTCAGGCGCCGAGCCACCTAGGAAATCAATGGATGAGATGAGTAATGAAGAGTTTCGGTCGATAATAGATAGTTTCATCGCTGAGAAAAAGAAAACTCTGATGCAAGAAAACATCGCCCATTACACTGGGAGGAAAGATAAGTGCATGTCAATTGTGGTTAAGAATTAAGAGATTATTAGACAAAAAATAGTGAGTTAAAACATAATCTATCTCGATATTCGAATATGTAGGCTTATCAGGATCCATATTTTTAACTAATATGGGATGTACAGCGATAAAATTTCCCAGGTTTTGTGGGAGTAAATGTAAGTTAAACATGTTTTATGGAATATTGTGCTCTTTTTTATTGTTTTTTTGTCCATTTTTTTGCCTCCCCCCCAATCTACGAATTATTTTCTTTCTGCATCTAGGTGCTGCTGTTTTACACTGAATCATATGTGCAATTATGGGTATATTATGTTCTTGGTAAAAAATGGAAGTGCATTCTAATTATGAAAGGATATTATTTTATGAGGACCTAAAACAAGAACTGGCAAGCGCAGCCACGGAATTCAGAGACAATAGAGCTCCTATTAATGTCCTGCTGAGTTGGTAACAGATTTTTGGTATATCCAGGTTTTTCATTTTCAGAAACAAAAGAAACTTTGATTATATTCCATTTTCTGCGTTTTTCCCCCTCTGACAGGAAAATTCATTTCAACTGCTCTAAATATCAATATCCTTTTACCTTCAGTTCCTTGCTTCTTCTATGGCAATTTAAGATCGCAAGTAATTATTCAGCTTCATGCAATGTTTGGCTTATTCTGTGTGTTAATCAATACCCAAAGATCCAAAGGGTCCAATGATGAAGGCAAACAGTGTAAAAAACTAAAAAGGCTATGAAATTCATCAAAAGCACAAAAAAAGGGTGGCCCTGGTGGGTAATTTGCTTAATGAATACCCAATCATGACCTTTCACTGTATTTCTGATTAAAATAACATTAGTTTACAGTAGTCTAATAGAAAAGCACTTTTACACAAGCATAATGGAATAATAAATTAGAGTGATGGATGAATTTACTACCGAAAGCTTGAAATCTTCCACCGGAAAGTCGATAACTTTTACTCAACTTTAGGCACGCCCACTAACCAATAAACTAAACAGTCTTGTCTTAATTTCATCTTTAAACTTTGCTTATCATCATTACTTACACTAACTAGTGGGGGCTTTGAGAAACTTTTAGACATGTATCATCTCAACAGCTTTGTCTTTAATTTCGTTTTTCTGCAATTCCAGACAAAGTTCACCCCCACCAGCTTTTTTTTCCCCCTTTTCTTAATTCTCTGTTTCGTCCCTTGAAAGTGACATCTCAATTGTTCTTCTAGTAATTCTCTTTTCCAGATTTTTTTGGAAAGAAGAATCAAGTACAATAACCGAGGAAGCATTTTAATTTACCTGCCCACTCTCTATTTAATTCTACAGAAAAAAGAAAGAGGGTTGAGGTGTGAGGAAGGTTCTTTGCAATGAACCTTGCTCTTGTCCACATATTCTAAGAGGATGTCCTTAATCAACAAATTCATTTTCTTAACAAAAAATAGCTGTGCATGCCACATTTCAACATGTTTGTGTGCATATATATTATTCCCCTGTTAGAGCAGTTAAGCTAGAACTTCAGATAAAATAAGGGCAAAAGCTGATTGTCATCTTCTTTTCTCCTTGATTTTACCTTTCAAAATTACTGACTTTGACCTTAGCTGTGAACTTCCATGACCTGTGATCTGCATAACTTTGTAACCTTAAAAACTGGAAAACACCACCATTTGTATTATTCCATAAATTACGTTTGACTGACAAGTTTAAACTGTATATGGATTTTCATTGCTTAATTAGAGAAAAACAAGTTTCAGTTTCCATGGAAATGGAAGATCCAATTTCTTGAAAAAAGGCTGGTTGTTACATTCTTCATGTTTCGGTAGCACTAAAGTAATAATAACTCCAATTAAAATATGAAAAAGCAAAAGGGTCGAACGAAAAATGCCAAAGAATATATATTTTAATATTTGTCTTCATATAGTAATGTGTATAGATATAGGAGCGATTGTATCATTTTGTGTGATCAAAGATTTGTCATTTCATTTCTATAATAAGGGGTGAGTAGCTGTCATATGATGAGAGGTGCAATCATTTACGGATGATCAGAGTCATAACCATTTTTTTTGAAAAATAAATATTATTTTTAAAAAATAATTACAACTTTTATTTTGAAAAATAGGTGATTTTGGATTAGTTTAAATTAAAATGAAAAAGAGTCGCTATCGACCTTTAGGTTAGGTAGGTCGAATACCTAAAAACGTCTTTTAAAAATAATTTTAGGGAAAATCGATTTTTAGACAAATACTAGTATGCTTTATCAGAAAAATCTTAGGGATCGGAAGTCGGTTACGCATGTAGAAAAGATAAACACTAACAACGCAAAAAAAATCGGTACTTAGGGTCTGTTTGTTTAGCTGTAATTGGTTTTCCAGAAAATGAATTACTGGAATTTGAATTACTGGAATTTGAATTACTGGAAAATGAATTACTAGAATTTGAATTCTGGAAAATGAATTACATTTATGTAAAATGAATTACATTTCTGGAAAATGAATTACATTTCTGGAAAACATATGGAAAACGTTTTATGATGTTTGGAAGATGTTATTTAAACATTTTTTCGGTATATTTTAGTGAAATAAAATTTTATAAATTATATTAATTATTTATTAAAGTAATAGTACTATATTATATTTTAAAAATATTAATTAGTATATTTTAATATCTTTACTAAAATATTATTGAAATATATAAATAATATTATTCATTATTAAATATATAAAAAAATTTATTATATATTATTAAAATAAAAAATATAATATCTTATATTATTATAATATAATTGATTATTTTATATAATATTAAAAATATAATATTATATTATTATAAATATTAATAAATATATTTTAAATATTTTAATAATTAATATTTTGATGAAAATGATATTAAAATATTTTATTAATATTAAATTCATAAAATAAAATTATTTTGAGTATTTTTGCTTTGAAGTGAAAAGTTCAGAAAATGACTTACGGAAAATGAATCCGTAAGTCATTTTACAGAAAACACAAAGGAAATTCTGTTACTAGGAAAATGAATTACATTCCGGAAAACGAATTACGTGAAACAAACACGGGAAAACGTTTTCCGGAAAACGAATTACGTGAAACAAACACGAGAAAACATTTTCCGGAAAACGAATTACGTGAAACAAACACGGGAATTCGGGGAAAACCAATTCCGTAATTCCAATTACGGGAAACAAACAGACCCTTAGTCACTTATATACCGTCGTAATGGTAGAACTTAAAGTTAGAATCAAAAGTAAAATTCCGATCTATTTATTGAATATTAGTTAAAATAAAAGAAATCCTTCACTTGATAAGAAATCCCGAGATTTGCAATCCTTCATCGGGAAAGCTATCTCGCCTATTTCTCATCCGTAAAGAATATTCTATCTTCGAATTACCACCAAATAATATCGAAATGGGCAGAAAATAAAATATGATTTATTTATCTAAAACATATATCATTAATATTAACATAAAAACAGTTAACACATTAAACATTATAAAAATAGAACAATAAAATAAAATGAAATATTAATATTTTAATTTTAAGTTGACATAAAGATATTTGTATTTAAAAATTCTTTTTCACTAGAAAGCTGTATCGGATTGCACCACTTCGATCAAATGGTTCTTTCTGCACCCCCGTTCTACGAATAATGTTCTTGAAATTAATTTCGAATGTATATATTAAGAAAACTAAATATGTAAAGCACACCTAAGTTTAACCACAATATCACAAACTAATTGAAAATTATTATAATAATATGTACATTAAGTAATATATATATATATATATTTATATGAATATATCCTAATATTAACTCAAACAAGACAAATAGTAAATAAAATAAAATAAAAATCAACCCAAATACTAAAATATTAAATATATAATTAACAAAGGATCTAAACCAAAATAAAATGAAATAACAGTGACCAATTAAGCAAATCACCCACACTAAGCTTAAACAGTGACTACAAAGTACAGTATGAACAACCTATGTACTAAAAGTATAAATTACCATTTAATGTATTATGAACAAAGGAATAAAATAATAAAAGGAAAACATACAGTGTAAATTCAATATTTAAACCAAACAGCAAAATAGTGATCCAAATGTGAACTTCAAAAATGTCGTACAAAATATTAACAATACCAACATAGTGACCAATATATAGACTTTACAAAATGTAGGGAATGAAGTGCAAAACAAATAAAATACAATACCCTTAAACAAATTTTACAAAACACGGAAACCCCTATGATGTAATTTAACCAAGCACATAAAATATCCCCTAAGACCTTATCCAAACGGCGTCGTTTGGACCATTGCATAGAAGGCCAAACCGAAGGCCTTTAGTTCGGTAAGTTTCCTCACTTTTCATTTTATTTCCTCTCTCAAAACCAGAAAACCCCAAACTCTCTAACTTCTTTCTTCTTCCTCACCACTCTCTCTCCTCATCCTTCATCGAAGATGAAAAACCTTAGCTCCCCGACCACTGTAGATTGGTGGCCACGGGGAGCGAAACTACTCAACCTCCTACAACAACCCCCTTTTTACTTACCTAAATCTATAAAAACATCTAACCCCGAATCCTAACCGATCCTAAAGAAAAGAAGGGCTTTTACCTTCAATAGGGGTCACCTAATTACGATGAGGCTGCTATCGGGCAGATCTCAAGGGTAAGTTTAGGTTTAGTTTTGGATTCGTTCTTTTACTCTCTTTTTTTTTCTATTTTTTTAATATCTTTCTCTCTATATTTTTCAAATCTCTTCCTCCTCTTTTTAAAGAAAACCCCTCCCCATTCCTTGGTTGATTTGATGACTTGGGTTCCCGAAACAAAATGGATATGATTATCCTATTCAAATCTGTCATATTGTAGATATCCTATAGATTTGTTTTCTATTTATTTTCTGATTTGTTGTCCCTTCTTCACTATTGACATTGATCTTCTGTCACTGTAGGATGATGGCGGCATCAGAGGCGACAACGACAACATGCAGTGGCAGTGACAGTAATCATCTGGGACTAGGGTTTTTGTAACCCTAAATGGCCCATAATCTAGACCATTGGTTTGGGTCCAGATCAAGGGATGAGATTGAGCGGCATTGGATCTTTCCAGGAAACCCTAATGTTTTTAGGGTTTTAGGTCAGGTCGGTTATGATCTTCGGGTCATGTGTCTGGGTATTGTTGTTGGGTTGGGTCGTGTGTCTGTGCCCCGGGTGAGCTGAGTTGGATCGAATCTGGGCTTGATGCTTTGTAATTGGGCTTGAACAGGTTTGAGTGGGTTAGTTTGATATGTTGTTGGGTTAACAGTTTGTAACTGGGCTGCAAATTAATGCTTGTAACAAATGTAATTAATTTTTGTTAATAAAGAAAATAATAATAATAATAATAATAATAATAATAATAATAATAATAATAATAATAATTATAATAAATAAATAAAAAAGTCAAACAAAAACGGGTGTCTATAGCTGCCACTCTTTGCACATTCTTGTGTTAACAAGAATAGGGCAAATATGACAAGACAATGTGTTTTTGCCTGGTTCTTCTTTTTGCTTTGAAATTTGATGATTTGAGGACAACGCTTCACATATGAGATAAAGAATTCTGGTCGTTTTTATGTAAATTTTGGTGATAGCACGACTCCTACATGATGAGGAAGTTTGGTTATCTAAGGGTGACACAGCTTCTACGTGATGAGGAGGTCTGGTCGGGGGATGATAAGATTCCTACGTGAAGAGGATGACAAGCCATCTTTAGGAATGATAACGCAGTTCCTACGTGATGATTACGGCTGGTTATCATGGGTGACATGGCTCCTATATGATGAGGATGTATGGTCATCTATATTGATAAGGTAGATAACACGGTTCCTACGTGATGAGGATGACCGATTATCTAAGGTTGACGCAACTTCTACGTGATGAGGAGATCTGGTCGGTTGATGATGATTGATTCACTGCTTCAATAATGAAACAGGTCTTGAAAATCCTGTAAAAAATGGTCATATGCCATGATTTCATGTTGGAAATATGCCCTAAAGATGACCTAAATGCATGTTTAAAGGGTTATGCACAGTTCGATCCTGGCATTTGGAATCTATCATGCTCTTTGATAAGAGTAGGTGAAATTTATGTGTTCGCCCATGTCTGGGTTTTGATTGCGGTTACTTTCTTAACCTCTTGTTGAATATTCCTTGACTTGGTTCCTCTGATCTACCCCGAGAAAGTTTATCTTGCCTTGTTGATTCTTTAGCCACCAGTTGATTTTCTGAGCAAATTCGATCAAAATAGCCTCTCCTTACTGTGTGCCTTTAAATTGGGACTTCTTTGCCCAGGGAAGGTAAAGTTATGTTGAAACTAATTTCTTTGATTTAAACCCTCATTTTTCAATGATTTGCTTAATTATTTATGGGAGCGTATCTTTGTATGTGCTCTCTGGTGAACACCTATTTTGAAATCCCCATACTTTGACACTTTTCAGAGTAAGGCATAATAATCGATATTGTCATTGATCAATAATTTGGTGAATATATGCAAGGACAATGAATCAAATTCAAAAAATTTCATTGAAAAGAGGCAATGAGAAATACAATCCTTTGGGGACAAGAAACAAGTAAGTACAAAGGAAGAACAAATGATAAATACAGTGAATATCAAATGCCGAGTCCTTCTATTTCTTCACCCCAAATCTTTCTTGAAAGTTGACATGTATTTCGAAGGTTCAGATCGTATAAAAGATGTGTGAGTATGAGAGTCTTTCCCTTAACTATTAGGCTTTCGAGGGAATCCGCCATTTCAAATTATGACTATTCAAGCCGTCCATTACGGATTTTCAACTCGAATCCTCCTTTGGTTTCAAGATGCCCATTTTGGGTTTTTATCTTGAACCCTCCTTTATTTTTTTCTTTCTTTTCTCTTTCTTTTCTTTTTTTCATTTTTTTTTCATTTTTCCCTTTTTTTTCTTCTTCTTCTTCAAGTGTAATATCGTTTGACCGAATCGGAATTCACAGGATTAGGAAAATCTTTTCCATCCATTTCTGTTAACACCAAAGCTCTTACTGAGAATGCCTTTTTTACAACATAGGGATCTTCCCAATTAGGCATCTACTTCCCTCGAAAGTCATTTTGCATAGGGAAGATTTTTTTAGCACTAAATCACCTTCATGAAATTCTTGAGGCCTGACATTCTTTTCATAGGCTCATATCATCCTTTTCTGGTACATCTGGCCATGGCAAATAGCTCTTAGCCTTTTCTCCTCAATCAAATTCAATTGATCAAACCTACTTGTACCCAATCAGCCTCGTCAAGTTTCAATTCCATCAATACTCTCAGAGAAGGGATTTTCAAACAGGTAAAATTGCTTCCATCCCATATACCAAAGAGAATGGTGTTGCCCCAGTAGATATACAAACAAATGTGCGATAAGCAAGCAGTGCCAAAGGTAACTTCTCATGCCATTGTTTATATGTCTTAGTTGCTTTTGTGATGATCTTCTTGATATTCTTATTCGCTGCCTCTACTGCCCTATTCATTTTTGGGCGGTAAGGAGCTGAGTTGTGATGTTTGATCTTTAACTTTGTGCAAACTTCCTTCATTAAATCATTATTCAGATTCAACACATTATCTGTAACGATCCTTTCAGGTGTTCCATATCTACAAATGATTTCTCTTTTTAGGAATATGCAAACTGCTCCTTTTATGACATTAGCATATGAAGTAGCTTCAACCCACTTGGTGAAGTAGTCGATGGCCACTAAGATAAAACGATGCCCATTTGAAGCCATTGGTGAAATTGCCCCAATGACATCGATGCCCCACATTGAAAATGGCCAATGTGCATTCATTACATGAAGTGGTGAAGGGGGAACATGTATTTGGTTATCATGGATCTGACATTTATGACATCTTCGAGCAAATCTAATACAATCTCCTTTCATAGTGGGCCAATAGTATCCAAACCTCATGATTTACCTAACCATTGTGAATCCATTTGCATGCGTTCCAAAAACCCCTTCATGAACTTCCTCAAGTATTTTCTTAGCCTCAATTCTATTCACACATCTCAAAAGCATCTGATATTTTCCTTTTTTGTATAAAATATCTCCATCAAGAACGTACCTCATTGCTAATCTTCTTAAGGTCCGTTTGTCATTTTCAGTTGCCTCAACTGGGTAAGCCTGATACTTCACATACTGGAGAATATCGTAATACCATGAGAGACCATCTTCCTCTTCTTCATCAATGTTACAACAATGAGATGGCACCTCTCGTATACTCATTCGAATGGGCATCATTCGAGATTGATCATCGGCCATAAACATGGCTGCCAACGTAGCTAAAGCATCTGCCATTTGATTTTCTTCACGAGGAAGATAAGTAAAAGAAATTTCTTCAAAGTCTTTGATCAAATCCATCACCAAGTTATTGTATTCTATCAATTTGGAGTCTCGAGTCATCCATTCCCCGCGAAGTTGATAAATAACCAGAGTAGAATCACCGAATACTTCCAGGCTTTTAACTTTGCGCTCAATTGCAGTATGAATACCCAAGATACATGCTTCATACTCTGCCATATTGTTAGTGCATTCAAAGGCGAGCCTACTAGTAAAAGGATAATGATATCCTTCCGGTGAAACTAGTATTGCCCCAATTCCATGTCCCACAGCATTTGAGGCACCATCAAAGTTCATTTTCCAGGCTTCATTATTTGGAGCATCTTCTTCAGTAGTAAATATACTCATTAAATCCTCATTTAAAAAATCAAATTTTACTGGCTCATAGTCTTCTAATGCTCTACTTACTAAAAAATCGGTAATAACACTTCCTTTTACTGCTTTATGATTCATATAGACTATATCAAATTCAGACAACAACATTTGCCATCTATCCATCCTTCCAGTAAGAGCCGTTGATTCCATCAAGTACTTTAAAGGATCCAGTTTTGATATTAACCAGGTGGTGTGATACAGCAAATACTGTCTCAACCTCTTAGTAGTCCATACTAAAGCACAACACAACTTTTCGATAGAGGAATATCGAGTCTCACAGTCAGTGAATTTCTTATTGAGATAGTAAATAACTTGTTCTCTTGTTCCAGTTTCGTCATGTTGAGCCAACACACTTCCCATTGACTTCTCAAAGACAGTCAAATATAAGATCAATGGTTTGTTTGGGATTGGTGGTATCAAGACTAGAGCATTAGTCAACTAACTCTTAATTCTATCGAAGCATTCTTGGCAACTATTATCCCATTCTCCTGGGTTTTGCTTTCTCAGTAATCAGAATATTTGATCATATTTCTCGGTCAACTGAGAGATGAATATGACAATATAATTTAACCTCCCCAAAAACCCTTGTACTTCTTTTTGTGTTCTAGGGGATGGTTGTTCCAAGATTACTTTGACTTTATCAGGATATATCTCTATCCCATTCTCACTGACTACAAATCCCAATAACTTCCCTGAAGTAGCTCCGAATGTGCACTTGGCTGGGTTAAGCTTGAGCTGGTTTTTTTTAATCTTAAAAATAGCTTCCTTAAGACTTTTACATGTTCTTCTTTAGTTTGTGATTTGGCAATCATATCATCCACATATACTTCTCTCTTTATGCATCATATCATGGAACAAAGTAACCATGACTCTTTGATATGTTGCCTCGACATTCTTAAGTCCAAAGGGCATCACCTTATAACAAAATATGCCCACATTGTCACAAACATTGTCTTTTCCATGTCTTCTGGGCCCATCTTGATTTTATTGTACCCCGAGAAACCATCCATGAAGGAGAAAAGACCATGACAAGCTGTATTGTCAACCAAGGTGTCAATATGTGGAAGTGAAAAATTATCTTTGGGACTTGCTCGGTTGAGATCCCAGTAGTCTACATACATCCCAACTTTGTCATCTTTCTTCAGAACTGACACCATGTTTGCTACCCATTCAGGGTATTTGGCTACCTGTAAAAATCTTGCATCAAACTGCTTATTCACCTCTTCTTTTATTTTTAATAGCATATCCGGTCTCATCCTTCGAAGTTTTTTTTGAACAGGCTTGCATTCTGGTTTTATTGGCAGCTTATGCACCACAACTTCAGTCTTCAACCCTGGCATATCTTGATAGGACCAAGAAAACACATCTTTATATTCCCGAAGAAGTCTTATAAGATCATCTCTTGTTTTTGGTGAGAGTGAAATGCCAATTTTAACCTCCTTTATATCCTCTTCTGTTCCCAAATTTATTGTTTCAGTTTTCTCTTTATGGGGCAATATTTTCTTGTTTTCTTACTCCATCATTATAACAAGTTCAGAGTTTAACTCACATTCCTCATCATCTTTATAAGCCTCAAATTCTTCGAGACACATGTCATTTTCAAAATCATGGTTCTGAAATATCATTATTCGAACAATTGATATATGAAGACATGTGAATGGAAAAGGAATATATTTGGTTGTGGACAAGAATTTTATTTAATATTCACCAAAAGAATAATTATCAATAAAGAATAAAGAGATTAAAAAATTAAATGAGATATTTGCTAAGAAGAGAATGAAGAGAAATCATCATTTCATTAAAGCAATGACAATTAACAATTTTTCTTTTACAAAAGACCTAATATATTTGGGTCAAAAGGAGACAGATTTGTTATTATGCACTACTTTGAAGAGTATTTACAGAACATGGGGTGTTCTTTAACAGTGTAATTGTTCAAAACATAGCCAGGAGGACACGAACAAATTGATGCTAATGAGCATTCTCTAGTAGAATCATCTGTGATAGTATTGATGCTCAGGCTTCCCATTAAATCTTGAATTACTTATATTTCTTCATTGTCCCATGACTGCTTCAGTGTGTCAGGCACAAATCCTCCATACACAAAAGTTTTGGAGAGTGGTGGTATGACCATTAGTCCCCAAACAACGTATTCTCCATATACTATTGCCTTCCTCCTTTCTTTAAGCTTTTGTGCATCTTTGTCTCTATTATGGTACGTTGGTCTGTATCCGAGACCAAAATAATTTCTTTTAGGAACTGGAGCCAACCCTTCAGTGATGCCTTGCAATTTGTTTCCCAGACATTTCCCTACCTTCACTCCTCTAGCTAATGTCTCTTTTAACTTTATCTTTGTATTCTTCGAAAGCTGAGGAGTGGGAATTATTTTTCCTTCAAGGTTAAAAGTGGAATTAACAAATTCCAAGGACTGGAATGAGAACTCTAGCGCATTTTCATCTACCCCTACATATGGTGCATCCGTAGTGATAGAGGGAATATGTCTTCTTCTACTTTGATGGTCACCAGAGTCTCATCAATAATGAATCAGAGTTTTTGGTGAAGGAAAGAATGAACTTCCCCAACCACATGAATACAGGGTCTCTCTAGTAAGCAACTATAACTCGGATGAATATCCATGACAAAAAAATCTACTTCAAATGTCGTAGGGCTAATTTTGAGAGGGGTAATCATATTCCCCATTATTTTGTGTTCCGTCCCATCAAATACCCTCACAACATTGCCACAAACTCTCATTTGAGAGGCATCTACAGGAAGTCTATTTAGAGTGGCAAATGGCATGACATTCAAGGCCGACTCATTGTCAATTAACACCCCAGAGATGACGACTCCCTTGCAATGGGCCGTAATGTGTAATGCCTTGCATCCGCCCTTTCCTTCTTCAGGTATTTCATCATCATAAAAATAAATGAAATTATATGCATTAATATGGTTTACCATCCTATCCACACGCTCCACTAGTATATTATTCCCTACAAAAGTTTCATTCAACACTTTGATCAGAGTATTTTGATATACTTCAGAATGCAACAGTAGAGATAACATCGAAATCCGTGCTGGGTCTTATGAATTTGTTCTACAATGTTATACTTTATGTGTTTTAGAAACTTTAAAAACTCCTGAGCCTCCTCAATCTTAACAGGTTCGTTTACTTTATCCTCAGGATCTTCAATAACCACAGCTCTTGCTTTATTGGCTTTTCTAGGAGCATAACATCTTCCACTCCTGGTGAAAAATCCAACTTCAGCAACATCCTCCTCCTCGATTTCAGGAGTATTAATTTGGCAGGTATAGTCCCAGGGAACACTCTTGTTACTCTTATAGGCAAAAGGCATTGGGGTTTTGATCAACACTCTGGATGTTATACTTCTGCTGTTGGCCTCATAGTTTGGTTTGGATATGACCATAACAGGCTTTTTTAATTTCTTTTCAACTTCTCCTTAACTTTCCTCAAAAGTGTAGATATATCTTTCATTCTCAATCATTCCTTATTCATAGAACTACAACTCCTATTTGTCCATTAATTCTTGGACCATCTGCCTAAATTATTGACAGTCCTGAATTTGATGACCATTTTCACCATGGTACTCACAGAAGTTCTTTGTCATTTCTGTTGAACATTTCTTTATAGGGATCAACAATCCTCTCTTTTTTATTGAAACATATATCCACTTCAATGGCATTATTACTTATTCAATCCTCCTTTTAACTCTTCGGTTCTCATCAATAGCGTTCACTCCCTGGTTCTGATGATTTGGAAGCGGGTTAGAAGCTACACAAGGAACCTCCAAATCATTAAATTATACTACTTTTCTCTTAATCAAATCTTCAACCACTCTTTTAAAAGCGAGACACTTCTCAATATTATGTCCTCAATATTATGTCCTCGGAGATTTGCATGATATTCGTATGTCTCATTTTTGTTGAACCATTGGATAAGGTGGTTTAATTGGATCAATGAATTTTGGTTACACTGCGTGAGCTTGGACTAATCCATGGAAAAGCTCACTGTAAGTCATTGGTATGGGAGTGAACGTCATTCTTTGATTGTTATGCTCGCGCTTAGTCTCTCATTGGGATGAAGAATTTCCCGTCTTCGTCTTATTCACGGAGAAATTTACATTATTCACCTCTTTTCCTTTCTTTTTCACATAGGGTTTCTTTGCAAGAGTTTGGCTACCAGCAATCTGCCCCTTCTTTAATGTTCTCTCGATCATCTCACCAAATATCACGATATCATAGAAACTCTTAGTCGCCAATCCTAACATACGATCAATATAGGGAGATTTTAATGTATCTATAAACATTATTATAAACTCAATCTCAATAAGTGGTGGGTGCGCTTAAGCGACAATATCCCTCCAGTGATGAGCGTATTGACGAAAGGTCTCATTATGCTTTATCTACATGTTTTGGAGAGTAACACGGTCAGACATCATGTTGGTAACATGCTGGTATTATTCTTTAAACGCATTGGCCAAATCCTTCCAAGACCTTATTTTAACTTGGGTTAATTGGTTATACCATCTGACAGCTGACCCTGTCAAGCTGGCCTAGAAGCAGTG